AAATTGCTCAGGAGCTCATGTCTGAATTAACATTTGCTGAATTGCCTGTGGATCCAAAATTCTTCAAGCATATAATAGGGAAAAATGGTGCCAATGTAACTCGCATGCAGAATGAATTGGGAGTTACCATTAACATAAGTGAAGCTGATGGATCAAATTCAATCAGGATTGAAGGCAATAAGGAAGGTGTACAGAAAGCAGAACAGGTGATTTGATATTAGAGAATTCATATTTTATTAATTTGCTTATTAAGCCATGACTTGTGCAAAACTATTGTAAACTGAAATGTTTAAATTAAATAATTGCATTAAATTACTTTTGATGCAAAAACTACAAACATCAATTTCAGCCTTCATGAATACATCTCACTGTTGACTTATTAACATTTTTTGTGTTCCAGAAACTCTCTGAAATGGTATTCAAACTTGAAAATGAAAAAGAAAAAGATCTCATTATAGAACAGAGATTTCATCGAAGCATTATTGGGAGCAAGGGAGAGAAAATAAGAGATATCTGTAAAATGTTTAATCAAGTATGCTTAATGCATTCATTTATTTATTTCTGATTAATTCCTTTACTGTTTGACTGATTTTGACGTAATCTTGCTCTCAACTTTTATAGGTTCAAATTACCTTCCCTGGACCTGTAGAAAAGAGGGAAGTGGTAAAAGTGCGGGGACCACGTGAAGATGTGGATCGATGTGCTAAGTACCTTATGAATCTAGTTAAAGAGCTAAAAGAATGCTCTCATCAATTGCAGGTGCCTATTAACAAAGAAATTCATAAATTCATTATTGGACGGGATGGTGCTAGCATTCGAAAGGTGAGATGTCTACCATAATTGAATTTATTATTTTTAAAACCCTGTTAGTCACTTTGCTTTGAATTTTTTATTTTTGTGAGAAAATAGAAGCTGCAAGATAGATGCATCACTCCATGTGTAAATCACGTAAATCAGATTAATAGAATGGCTGGGAGGACACTGCAAAGTTTGGGTTTGGTTTTGAAATTCTTTAAATCATTGACTTGTGAGGTATTCATGAATGTGCATGGACGGATGTGTACAGTGTGTATGACAGATATAGAGAAGGATTTTCCTAAGGATGGGATGATTTGACAGCTAGTGCTGGCAACACAACTGACGATTCTGTGTCCTTGAACTAAATAGACTCTCCTTTCTCCATTCGTTCGTTTGCAGTTGGCTAACGTGTAAGAAGCCACGACGCTCCCTGCTGTGATGTCCTCGTCCGACGAAAATATAGTGCGCCACGAGAAATAATTAAAATTAGGAAGTGCAGAGCTTTGTGCTCTAATGTAAAAATTCGTTTTTTTTATAAAAATTATATTGAATTTAGTTTTTATGTGATAAGTATTATGTTTGTTTTAAAATCGAGTCTTGAATGTGAGATACGTAGTCGCCACGGTGCACATGTTTCCGGCCTCTGTGCTGTGTGGCGACTGGCGACCTGTGTTTGGGAGCTTTTCGTGATATTTCGTGCTTTTTTGTGCAATTATATCACGATTGTGAGCAATGAGACCAAGACATTTTCCCATTTATGTAAATAAATTTCTATATTTCCCGGACTCGCGTGGTGCATATAACTAAGCGAAACTCAGACATCTCGTCAGTGATGTCTCGCGTGAACCGTAAACAAACCCTACGAAGGGGCGTAACTAAACAGCTGATGCGGCGGAGGGATACTTCTCTGAAGTAACGTGATGTTCACTTGTTTTTTCCGATCTGTCACTTTATCCCATCGTTAGGAAAATTCTTGTATAACTGATAGAGATTGGGATTGGTTAAAAGGGATATTCAATACAGAAATATTCCTATTCACTATCATAGAAATACAGTTCAAGTAACTTTCTGTCATATGAATCATGTTTAATGTAGATGCACATTGTAATTTCTCATAAACTTGTAACAAATTTGTCAAATTACAAATTGAACCTGTCATGTGGGTTTATTTACATGTTTAGGTAAAATATTCCTGATTAGTTTTTGAAATCATGTAAGTCATAAACTTGTAAATACGTTCAGCAACTATTGTACTATTGATGCAAGTAAATTACATGTCTTCATAACATCTTCAATCATGATTTATGCATCAAAAATTAATAAATCTGAGAAAAGTTCTTGTGCTCAATTATTCAGTTTCTCTTATTTTCCCACAACTTTACATTTCCTGACTTGCGGATTTTAAAAATAACCAATTCAAATATGTGGCAATGCGCTTGTGAATATTACTTTGTTTTTTACTGATAAGTTATTCATTACTCGTTATTGCCTTCGATATGGAGTTTGATATATCCTGCATAACTTCCCTGGATCGAGAGGACATGGTTACTAGGGAAATATGAAAATGGTTGAACGGTGCTACCTGTTCTCTTATGGAGGAAATGATGAAAGGGTATTATGGGAGGAAAATATGCAGTCAAGTTAATATCTAGTTTATAAAGAAATAAATCTGAATTAATAAAATTAGGTAAAAATGAAATAGTGTATGTTCCACGGGTGTTAAGTGGTTCTAATGATCTGGGACGACAAAACGCTCTTGGGCCAAAGACCCTTGGATATTTTGTCCCCCACTCGATCATTAAAACCCTTATAACACACTTGGTGAATAAATAACTAATTTATATTAATGAACTTGATGTAATGTTTGTCCTTCCAGATTCGTGAAGAGACTGAAACCAAAATAGAACTTCCTGCGGAAGGTGAAAAGAGTGATGTGATTACCATTACAGGCAAGAAAAAGAATGTGGAAGAAGCCAAAGAACGCATTCAGAAAATCCAAAATGAGCTGGTATTGTTAATTTTATTCTTTAGAAAGCTAAACTAGTGGGAAAACAAATAAGCATTGTGTAATTGTGATAGTAAACTACTTAATGCCCAGGAGAAAACAATTAAGCATCAAAATTACTTTAATGTTATTTGATTTCACAAAAAGATAAAGTTGAATGTTATCAAATTGCTGCTCAATAATCGGTTAGAACTTCAATAAAAAAAAAGTCTCAGTACTACTTCTCCATCTTTGCTGCTTTTATTTTATAAATAATGTAAATTAATGAAGGTCGCACTTTTATATTATGAAAAAGTGTTTTACCTTTGATGTACTTGTCCCATCATACAAGTATATTGTATTAAAATTACTGCTTTATTTTTAATTAATATTTCTGCTTTGCAGGCTAATATTGTCACCGAAGAAATAGTCATTCCTCCAAAATTTTATAATTCTTTAATTGGTGCAGGAGGCAAGTTAATCCACTCAATTATGGATGAATGTGGGGGTGTGCATATTAAATTCCCTCCTGCAGATAGCAATAGTGATAAGGTTAGTGTTTACAGTGCTATCTTGTTTCCACTTCTCAAGACTAGTTCTTTAAAAATAATTAGCTTTTGATGGCATCTGAAATATAATTGTTTGTGTGTTTATGCTTGTACTCTGGATAATTGTCTCATGTGGTTCAAATAAAAATAAATCAAAATATTATCAAATCTGGTATGTTTGTGATCGATGACCTAGCAGTCTCATTAAGGAGAAGAAAGACAAGAAGAAATTTTCGTTTCTTTGTTAATGGTTCAATGAACCAATATATATCCTATGTTATGCATCTTCATTGTTTTATATCTATATCTGTCTATAGATAGATATCTACAGATAGAGATCTACAGATAGATAGATATCTTTTCAGATAAATGGATAGATATCTATTCAGATAAATGGATAGATATCTATACAGATAGATGGATAGATATCTGTACAGATAGATGGATAGATATCTGTACAGATAGATGGATAGATATCTGTACAGATAGATAGATAGAGATATGTGTGTGGTCCCAATTTGAGATGGTCAAAAGAAATAGTAGTGTCATTAGTAAGGGATAGACTACTTGGTTTGACATCATCAAAGCAATTACACATAGGTAGAGGCATTACCCATAGGTAGTATATCTTCTCGCTATTGGTCTATAAGTACCCGGCCTCATCACACTCTCACAAACTTAGAGACCATTGTACCAATCTGTATCCAACTTGACATTTATGCAGAATATGATGCTTTGAGTTCTAATGTCTGTTGAGGTGGGTTCCCAGTTGATGCTGTTGAAGAAACTGAAATCTGTTCAATATCGTAGAAAATGTAGGAATATCAAATTACGCTCTCACAAATGTCAAAACCAGAAGCCTTTTTTAATTGCAAATTTCAAAACTCAATGCAAGCAATGTAGCAAATAAATGGATGTTGTTTACATAGATGGTAGTTAATTTCTGAACATTTCGTGTTAAAAAATATAATTCTAGCAATGAGACCGAACACAGATTAACAGCGTCATTGAACTAAGAAGAGAAATTTTACCTCATTGATATTTTGAAAGACAATTGTGATGATTATTATTTCAAAACAGTGATGATGTGATGGAGATGGAGGTGTGGTGTTAACGCTTTTGTTTGGAATACTTAAATCACTTTACAAATTTGAGTGAAAATTAGATTGTAAAAATTCCTAAAATTTGAAATTGATTGAATTTTTAGGTGACAGTACGAGGTCCAAAGGATGACGTGATGAAGGCTTGTCAGCAGCTTCGTGAATTGACATCTGAACGTCAGCTCTCTAGCTTTACTGCAACAGTGCGCGCAAAGCCTCAACATCACAAATTCCTCATTGGCAAGAATGGTGCTAACATTAAAAAAATCAGGGACCAGACCGGGGCTCGTATCGTCTTCCCTTCAGAGAAAGATGAACAAAAGGATGTGATAACAATCATTGGCAAACAGGATGCAGTGGAAAAAGCAAGAGCACAGCTTGAGGCAACTATTAAAGAAATTGTGAGTGTTTGGTCAGTAATATATTTGATATCATAGGGGTTTATAATTTTCAACCAATTGCTTATATAAAAACATTTTGTATGAATTTTGAATTTGGTTTTCTTGATTTTATGAATTAATATTTCCTCTTTCACATCCCTAAAAATCATTGATAGTTATTTAGAACATTTCTACCAATCCAATTATTGACTTGCTGACCTATTATACACTGAAGTGAGAAAGTCAGTTGTCAACAAGCTGCAACATTTAATCAACAAATGTACTGTCATTCAGTGCAAATTGATTTAATAAAATTAATTTTATTTTCCTTTATTTCTATCTGTTCAGGATAACATTGTAGAAAGTAGTATGACAGTTGAACCAAAACATCACCGCCATTTTGTCATGCGGCGAGGAGAAGTTCTTCATCGCATATCAGAAGAGTGTGGAAACGTTTCCATTTCATTTCCTCGACCAGGAGTGGAATCAGATCGTGTTGTGCTGAAAGGGGATAAAGAGTCAATTGAACGTGCTCGTCAGCGAATCGAGGAAATTGTGGAAGATTTGGTGAGTATCTCCCCTTTATCAAAAACATGGCCAAATTTGAATTGCTTTTTGAATTTAAGAGATAAGTAAAAATGCTATAAAATAACAAACATTTGTAATAATAAAGTTACATAAAAGAATATATATTTTTTATTGGGTTGGCAAATAAGTTTGTTCAGTTTTTCTTGTGGTGCAGTTTCCATTACTGCCTCTTTTTGCTTGGAACTACCAGGCAAATTGGCAGCGCATTTTGAGGGACATGGCAATGGAAACCTTCTGTGAGTTTGGTTTCACATATGTAGTTTTGTGGGAGCATCACAGCTTTGAAGATGGGCATGACGAATTTGCATTATCACAATGTTTAATTGTTTTATAACTAAAGAGGTGAACGAACTGCAGAGGCTTGTCAAAGGATTTGCATAGTGTTGGGCAGGATGCTGTAATGTAACACGTGTCAAAGAGTGGTTAGCAAAATTCCATTCTGGAATTTCTGAGGTCAACAATGTACAGTGTACAAATCACGTTCCCAATATAGATTTTAGTGATGTCAAGGCAATTGACTCTCACAAATCCAAATAGTAGGGCGATTGCTCCAGCATTAAACATTTCCCTTAAATGTGTGGAAAGTAATTTGTGCCACAAGGGGATTCGTTTCTCAGCTTAATGTTTAGTTGTCGTATAAATTTACCAAGAACTTGACCAATCACATATCCATTCGCAATTCACTGATAAAGTGCCAAGAAGGGGGCCTGGAGCAGTTGTTTTATCCCCTGATAAAGCACAGTCCTTCTGTGAACATGGTAGTATGAAGTGGCGGAAAGAGGGCAAAAGGTTATTAATAATAATGGTCTGTATAATTGAATGAAATTATAGAGGTACACCAAATGATTAATTTTTTTTTTCATACCCAAAACCGAATGTATTTATTTGCCAACCCAGTAGATAAATTATATCATGCAAGTTTAATTTTCAGAAAGTAAATAACTTGTCTTCATATGTTTCTTTTAAAGGGCTAATATTAATTTGTGAGATATTGATAAAAAAAGGGGGGGATGGAAAAGACAGAAAACACAAGAAAGTCTAACAAATGTTATTTTAAAATAGTGTTTCACTTCAAATAATGATCAAACGTTAAAACTTCTCTGAGAATTAATGTTGTCTCCTATTCTCTGCATGCTTGTAGTGTTTGATCATAAGTCTTCCTTTGCTATTTTAGAGAGGTAAAGAAATATAATGGATCTAAAAATTTCAGTAATTTTCTGAGTTGTTGAAGTGTAATATTTTTTGTTGTTGTTTTTTTTTTTTTGTAGGAGTCCCGTGTGACTGTGGAGTGTATTATTCCTCAAAAACATCATCGCACTGTGATGGGCTCCAAGGGTTGCAAGGTCCAGTATATCACCTCTGAACATGATGTACAAATAAAGTTTCCAGAAAGAGATGCTACAGGTTTGAACTTTATGCTATTGGCATTGTGCTTTCTGTTTTGCAGAGACTTTCTGGTTAACAGTGGTTGTATTAATAAATTCTCAAACTCAAATAATTTCCTTTTTCTGTATCAATTTACCAAAAGTATTATTATACAAAATAATTAATCATATTTGAAAAGAAAGCTTATTCATGGAAGAGATCAGTATTTTGTGATTCTAGGTTTGACTTTGTGAAACTAAGAATCTGAACGGCAAGGAAAATATCTAAACTTTCTGGTTTTAACGACAATACAGTCCTGTTTTTGTTTTCCAGTCTTTAACAGCAATGTTTCTTGATCCCAATCTTTTATAATTTAAGATAATATAATAAATTTTTTAATAATAAAATTATAATAAATTTTTGTCTGTTACTTTTGTTACTGTGTGAATGCAAAGGAGGATAAAGTGTTTGGATGTAGATTTGTATGTTTGTTGCCCCCTAGCACAGAATCGGTGCTGGATTTATGTACAAGTAAAATGAGCTGTTGAGTTGGGGCCCTGCATCTGGGGAAAAAATAAAATATTAAACAAAAGCCATAAAATGTATTTGTTTCAATGAAATAGTTGTTAATCAAGTGGTCTGCTTCGAAATGGATTGTGTTTAAAACATTTTATTTTTTATTTTATTATTTTTAATATTTGATAAATGTTTAATGTTATTAGTAGATAAGAAATTTATCATACTATTAATAAATATATATAATAAAGTATTAGGGGATGTGCCCTGCCCCTTGCCAAGAAAGTCTGGTGATTATTCCTCCAGGTATTTTTGTCGTCTTCATCTCCTCTTTGATATTCCTATATATCTTCACATATATTCTTTTCTGTGTATTTCTTCATTTCTGTGTATTGTGTAGTTTTCTTGCTTTGGCCAAGTGTTTTGAAACTTCATCCAAGTTCCTTCTAATCTTTGTAAGTCTAGTTAGGTCTCTGATCAGTGTATTAATGCTGTCTGTGCTGTTATTCTAAAAAAATCTGTTTTGTCTCCTTTCCCAAGTATTTTTTATTGTCCCATTAATTCTGTTAAATTTTTGGATTTTGTTTTCCAAGTCCTCTTGTTCATGTCCAATTTATGCTTGCCATGTGCTGTTCAAATTGCAACCTTCTATATTAATTTCTGAATAACTGCTGGAGTGGGTTCAGAGACTAATGAAACGTGTATTTTAAAAAAATTAATATTTTTTTTCAAACTAGCTTTAAAGTTGTACAAAAGCAACCACGAAGCACAACTAACTGTTAACCAGAAGTCGCAAAAAAACTTACGAACATCAAAATACAGCACTGTCAGTGCATGCAACATATGAAATGTAACTTCCTGATAAATATATAAAAACCCAATAACAGTTTTAGATGAGTTAGTTCTCGTTTTAAGCTTTGTGCTAAACTTAGCAGCCATTTTGAAAGGTGCTGACCACTACATCTCTATAAAACACCGGACTCTATTGGACCACCGGTCAGTTATTAATCACGCAACTTTTCTTGAATGATGACCTTGCTTCTCCCTCTCTGATGCAATGAGCAGTTGAAAGCAAAAGCTCGCAACAAGCACTGATGACATTCCAAACACATCTTCTGCCACAATATGGAAACTATTTTCTGTTGAAGACATGTGATTTTCACCCCAAAATGTAAAGAAATGTCTGAAGAAGGTGAAGGTCCATCACAGGAGATACCTTGAACTCCTGAGAAAGTTAAATCGCAAACTATTGTGAAAGTTGCAAAGGCATTATTCATTCTCCAGAGATTGGCGTTGCTTCATAAAATCTAGTTACCGATTTCGTAACTAATTCCTCCACTCTTCCCGCATTTCTTCAATCCATTAAAAAAAAGTTGTGAGAGTAATACTAGTTGAATACTTTATGAGTCTATGAAACTTCTGCTCATATTGGCTGTCGAAGATACATTGTGGTGTTACTGCAGGAAAAAATGGGAAAAATCTTTAATTTTAGATGTCATGATGTTGTTTAACTTGTATCATGGCTCACTGTTTGTACTGTATTCAGTGTTGTATAGACACCTGAGATACACATGAATAAAAAGAAATTAAACCTTTTTCTTTGATGAACTACATCCTAAATTTACAAATCAAATTGTTCAGAAAAATTAATATTTCATATGCACTAAACACCAAAAAATGTCTAAATTTTTAGTTTTTTTTTGTGTTGGTTTCCCTTAAGCTCTTTGAGGCAAAGAAAGTTAGTCAAAGAATTTGCAAATTTTAATTGATTGCACATTGTGGGGACATGTTGATCATTAATGCACTGTGTGGAAGAAATGCATGAAATATACAGACAGGAAAGTTTCCTCGCAGTGACACAATGCTGATGAGAGTGGTATCAACAAGAATGATGTTGGTATTACAAGCAACCAGGCAGTGTCCCCACCGTCTGGAGGGTGGTGTAAAAGCAATGAGGGAAGGGAGGACATGCATGCGACACTAACACCTCACCGGGCGGTTAATCTGTGGGAGAAGTGGAAGATGCAGTGGCAGCCTTGGATGCGGGTCGGTGCGGAGAAACTCTCCTGGCACACGTTAGTTATTCTGGTGAGTGAGTTTGGTGCTCTATGTTTCAGAGGAGAGCAACGCTATACCAGCTGAGGGTCAGCAAAATGGAGAAGTCGAGGAACCTCCCGTGCGCCGCTGTGATATTATCCTTATCACAGGCAAACAAGAGAATTGTGAGGCAGCTAAGCAAGCACTGTTAGACTTGGTGCCTGTTACCTTGGAAGTAAGCTTATAAAGATAATTCTCAAGCTCTTGCATTGTAATTCTAGCACTTGCCCTTGTAAATTCCATGTAAATTTCTAATATTTTTTTCATTTCTGGGGGTTACACTATTCCATGAAATGGAATGGAATGTTTGGTCTGGAAAAAAAAAAAGAAAAAAAAAAAAAAAATACTTGCTAATATTTATTACAGAAGTACTAAATTATCAATTTTCTACCATTTCATGTTGCTGTATTAAACCTAAATATTGCTTTATTGTGCTTGTGCAGAATGAATGGATTATCCAATCTTACATCAATTTTCAAAGAAGGAATAGTCTCAGATTTATTTCTTCTGTTCTCTTACACACAAGTGTAGTTACTTTATGTGAAATATCAATGATAAGTAGTAGACCTTTCGTTCTCTTTGTATCTCTCTCGTACTCTCTCTCTTTTCTCTCTTTGGAACCAAAATTTCTAAAAAAAAAAATTAAAGTTAATAAAAACAATGTACACAGAATAAAAATTATTGTTTATGCATTTATCACATGTTGAGTTCAGTTTGTTATAATATCAAATACATTTTATTGTAAACATTTTCATGTAAGAGAGAAGGTATATGACAATCTCAAATGTATAATTATTTTATATTAAATGAGTTCATTGGATCCAGAATAATATAACCATCACCAACTCAAAAATATATTAAACAACCTCCAAAATTATTTTGGTGTGAGAAATCTGCATAAACCTTGAATTTAAAGTTTGATAGCCAGTCTTTGTGTTATATTTAGTCTGTTTTTTGTAACATGTGGTCATATTTTAATTGTAATGATCACTAACAGCACTGGACGTGGAATCAATTGTATTGATTTGCCTGTAGGTTAATGTTCCTTTCAACCTGCATCGTTCCATCATAGGGCAGCAAGGTCAAGGCGTACGTGAGTTGATGGATATGTATGATGTACATATTGTTCTTTCTCCTGCGGATCAAAAGCTGGATGTGATTAAGATAACTGGAGCTCCAGCAAGTGTACAGCGAGCCAAGACTGCTGTAGAGGAAATATGCCAAGATCGTATCTTACGTTCTTATGAACAAAAGGTTGGCTTTGTATTTTTTATGATTTTTTTCAGTTGCAAATGATAATATATAAATGTATTATGAATATTACAATAGAGATAGTTGTATGATGAAGTGTTGATAAAGTTAGATAAGTAAACAAAATAGTGTATTTACACCAATTGAAGTATTTTAAATCTCTCAAGATGCATAATTGTGACTTCGTTAATTTTTTGCATTCATTGAAATGATAGATGTTCCAAATTTGGATACTTGCAGATAGAGGTAGATCCAGAATATCATCCAAAGATCATTGGACGCAAAGGGGCTGTTATTACAAAGATTCGCACTGATCATGACGTGGCAATAAACTTTGGAAAGAAAGGCTGTCCAGATGAAAATATTATTACTATTACTGGATATGAGAAAAATGTTAATGCTGCTAAAGAGAGCATAATGAAAATTGTTAATGAACTGGTAAGAGTATATGTTACTTGGTTTTATTAATATGATGTATTGTTGTGTATTTTGAAATTAATTAAGCAGTTTTTGCTTCCATTGTTTGCGTATTCTAGATATATGTAAAATAATCTTGAAAATTGCTATGTTTTCAGAATGCTAATATCAAAGAGGAAGTGGAGCTGGATGCACGTGTTCATTCTCGATTAATTGGGTCTCGTGGGCGCAATATCCGACGTATCATGGAGCAGTATAAAGTTGATATTAAATTTCCTCGGCCAGATGGCAATCCAAATTTAGTTACTATAATTGGGCAAGAAGAAAATGTGCAGGATGCCCGTGATCACTTGCTGAACTTGGAAGAAGAATTTGTGAGTAAAAAAATAAAGAAATATATTAATTTATTTGTTCATTATTTCATATTGGCAGTTGCAATTCATGGTTGCATGTGCATATCTATTTATTTGTTAACAGACTGTTTAGCAGTTGAAAGTTAGTACTATTTCAGTTTCCATATAACTTCATGTACTATTTCAGTTTTAACATGAAGACATACGGGAAGACATCATTTTTGATATTATATGCATGAAAAATATTGTTTGATTTCATGCTTTTATATTTCCTAGTGATGTTAAACATAGTATGGGAAAACAAACCACATATTTGCATGGGCATTTGTGTATTCCTTACACTAAAGTCAGAATCATTAATTTTCAAATTAGCCCTTTAATGTTCACATTATCAAAAATGGGTGAAAGTAGAAGAAGAAACAGTGTCAAAGCATATTTCAGACTATAATCAAATGAATTGCACATTGGCCTGTTGGCATAATGTTTGTTGTGGCTAGGATAGATGCAGTACTTATGGTGATAAGGAATAACAAATATTAAGTGACAAATAGAATTCATGCTAGCATCGTAGGCTTTCACGGCCAGAGTCAATAGAAGATAAATGTTCCAGGCTGGTAGGCTGTGGTCAAGTGGGCATTGAAGGGAGAAACGTTTCATCTACGTCTGTGATGAACATCCTTGGTGGCAGTAGGGTTGAGGGCGCAGTGTGCAGGAACAGCAGCCAGTCGTCAGCCAGCCACCGTTCCACACACTGCACCCGCGACCCTGCCGCCATTGAGGATGTCCTCCGTAGTCGTGAGCAAAACGTTTTGCCCTTCAGTGCCAACTGGACCACGGCCTACCTGCTTGGAAAATTTATCTTCTCTAGAATTCATACTGTTTGTTTATTTATTTATTTATGTACATATAATTACAGGCAATCGCCCAATTATTAAATATCATTTACATTACAGTATTATTGAAAATAATGTAGTAACAGGTTTTTATAAGTTTTTTTAATTGATAAGGTGAACAAAATAAGTTAATGCGGTTACAGTTGGCACTTCTACACATTTTCCATAATGGCGCATAATAGTACAAGAAATAATTATAGATGTGAAAAATGCCAACAATAACACACCACAACACCTATAATAGTACAAGGTTGATCTTGCAAAAGGAATATTAAATAGCATGCTGTTTGTAGAATGCAGATCACACACTGGATTAGCCCAAGGAATTTTACAAAGTAATTCTGAAGAGTCTATATCATAATTTATCAAATTATCCAGAAAAAGTACATCAAAATAATCCCTATGGGAGCGTAATGATCTAATATTCAATCTAGTTGCGACTTGGAAATAAATGTGACTAAATCTAGGAGATGGAATATCAAGCTTGAAGGCAGCAAAAATAAAAAAAATTGTGCTGAACAGTTTCAAGTCTAGAGATATGGTTCTGGTTAAAGGGAGACCATATTTGTGAGCCATATAATAATATCGGTCTTACTAGAGTTAAATGTGAAGTTTTGATGGTTTGCACATTAGTAAATTCAGATGTAATACGTCTCACAAATTCTAACATCTGATTTGATTTATGAAAACTCATTTTTTGATCAAAAATAACAACCAAATCTCTAAAGTATGAAACTGATTCCAACATTGCATCTCCTAGTTCATAATTGAATACAATGGGATTACTACATCTAGTAAAAGACAAGGACTTACATTTACCATTATTCAAATTCAAACATTTTGATGAACACCAATCTAACAATGTATTTAAGTCACATTGTAAATCGAAACAGTCTTGTAATTAATTTATAGTTTTATAAATTTTCAAGTCATCAGCAAAAAGTAGGAATTTTGAATATGGAAGTGTTTTCTGAGGATCATTTACAAATAGAATGAATAATAGTGGGCCTAGGTACGAACCTTGTGGGACTCCAGATGTGACGTATATATTTCTAGAAACGAAGGATTTATATTCCACATTCTGCGTTCTCCCAGTTAAGTAACTATAGAACCAATTCAAGATTGTACCATGGATACCAATTTCTTCCAACACATGAAGTAAAAGAACATGGTTTACAGTATCGAAGGCTTTGGAAAAGTCTGTATAAATTACATCTACTTGTTTTTGTATATCTAAATTTCCAAGTATATAATGTTGGATAGTCATCAAATTAGTAACAGGAGACCTCCCTTTACGAAAACCATGTTGTTCTTCAATCAAAATTGGATTTAGAAATTGCGTCAATTTAATTGTTATGATGGGTTGCATCAATTTAGCAATTATACAAAGTTTAGAGATTGGTCTATAACTCTCAACGTTAGAACGTTTATCTTTTTTGTGAATCGGAGTTATATAACTGGTTTTCCACATCTTTGGGAGGGTTCCTTCTCGCAGAGATTTAATAAATAAAAAGTGTAGGATTGGTATCAGATTCACATTACAATTTTTCAATAATAACGATGGTATACCATCAGGGCCAGGAGAAGTGTCGGTTTTCAATTTATCAATAGCATTAAAAGCATCACGTTGAGATATATCAATAAAGCCATACTGCTGGTGGGAAGTTCCAAAAACTAGTTAGAGATTGGAATTGTTTCAAGTTACCTATGACAGTCATAAATTTATATTTACACAATATCACTTAACCTCCTCATGTACCTCAGTAGACGCATTGCGAGGCGTGTCTGGGTTAGGGCGAATATACATTTTATCTTCGCTATTTACATGAAGCAGCTGTGAGTTTGTGCGTTGCATTTTAATGGTAAAACACTTCTCACAAATATACAAGATGTGTCACCTCAGACATTGAGCTTACAATATCTGTCGCCCTATGGCCATTGTCAATCGTAGCTGAATGATGTCCATAATTATCCATTCGTCATCATTCTTCATGCAAACCGCTGGCTTGGCTTTCTAATTGACTGCAAGACAGCTTATTCCATCAATTCTTGAAAAGCAAAACTTGTTTTGATTATATACATTATTACGTGTTATGGGATAATGTTCCAATGCACAATCATTAAGTTTTTTGACCTGCCTGCGGTAGGTTTTGCATGTTGTACTTCTTGTTTCCGCTTCCATGACATTGACGTCTTATAAAGGTTCTGGTATTTGGAGCCTTCAAAACGCATGTAGTATGAGCTTACATGATGCAAATATAGAATGATTTTTATAAGAAAGAACCATTTTGACACCTAGTGCTGGCAACAAAACTGAAGGTTCTGTGTTCGTTGTCATTGAGCCCATTAGACTCTCATTCCTCCATTCATTCGTTTGCAATTGGCTAACTTGTAAACGACTTCGACACTTCCTTTTGTGATGTCCACATCTAACAAAAATATAGTGCTCCACGAGAAATAATTCAAATTAGGAAGTGCAATGGTATGTACTCTTCTGCAAGCATTATTCTTTTTATAAACACTGCATTATATTTACTTTTTGTGTGATAAATATTACATTGATTTTAATACCGAGTTTTGAATATGCATACAGGTGCACATGTTTTCTGCTCCTGTGCAGTAAGGTAGTGGGCTGTGATTGAGAACGTTCTGTTCTTTGTGTTTTATCAATTTATTTTTTCATAGATTACACAGTGGTGAACCATGAGTAACCATGATGTCATTACGGGAGCCATAAACAAACACAAACACTTTACGGTGCCTGAATAGCTGACTTGGTGGAGGGATACTTGTCTGAATTACATGTGATGTTCACTTGTCTAGGGAACTGTCATTTTGGCTCATTCTTAGGCCGATTCTTCAATATATAGAGAGATCAGTAAGGGAGCTTTGTTTTTTGGAAGACTTGGCCTCTGGGTTTCAGGAATCATGAAGTTCAGGGCAACTGGTGGACGTGCTCCAGGAGCACTCGCTCTTATACCAATTCAGCTTATCAAAACCTCATGCATAAGGCAACAAAAGGCACCAGGAGAGTTTACAGGCACAACAGTGTTTTGCTAGGGGTACAATTATGGTCCACAGATGTCATTAATTCACAATTTGTTTACCTCACACTTTCGGAGAGCAATGTCATGTAATTGGTATAAAAAAATTATAAGCCACCTAGGTTAAAATATATAATAATAATAATAATAATAATAATAATAATAATAATAATAATAATAATAAAGCATTAAAAATTAAAAAATAGGTCTTAATGATTTTTTAAAATTATTTCAAATAATATAAAAATCTTATCTTTATATATTAAAACATTAAGTAGGGAGCCAAATTTAATCACAATTGCATACAAACAAGAACAAAATAAAATTTTCAGAAAAATGAAAGCTTGTTTTGCAGCCCTGCTACATGTGTTTCATACTTTCTATAAATTAATACATTCTATTAATGAAAGTGTGTAGTGCTCTCTCTTTGTGTGTGAGAGAGATAAGTGTAAATATAGGTTGCCATTTTTGTGGGAAAAAAGCAAGATTCTTTGTTTCTCAGGAGGATTTTGGGCAATTCAATTCCTGTTTTGCTTCAATCATCAGTAATATTCCAGAACTGTACATTTTTAACTCATTAATCTCAAAATAAATTATAAATAAATATATTAATCTCGAAAAAAAAAATAGATTACAGAGACAGCTTAAAGCTTATCCTGATATTGATGGTTTACAAAGAGAAAAACTGACAAAGTTGACTAAAACTTATGTACAAAACAAAATATTTCCAGTCAATTTGAAATCTATGAATGCAAATCATCACTCCTCAATGGTCCTTGAGCACTGAGAACAAAAAATACTGTAGGATTCCATCAACCTTTGCTTTTAAGCAATCCGTGATTTCCCATCCACAAGTCTCTGTAAGTAGCTTTGCAGAATATTTTTCTAATGTTTGTATTGATTTTCATGTTTTGGTTACTAAATGTGATGGATCTTGTCCTGGTGCAATGGGTAACGGGGTATTTCTAGAGGAAAAATATGTAATGCAAAAATTATCTAGGCATGGAACAGATAACATTCCTGCAATTATTTTTTTTAAAAGAAATGTGTGACCCCACTTGTTGTACTGCTGACTTTTATTTTTCATAAAATCATCTCAAATGCAGTATATCCATCTGCATGGAAAAGCACAAAAATGTGTCCTGTTCTTAAGAAAGATATTCCTGCACAAAAAGGAAAATTATGGACCCCTTTCTATAAGTCATTTATATGATATTATTTATTTAGCCTTTAAACCAGACACTTCAGACATTCGTCATGGCTTCTTTAAACAGTCTTCTGTTAAAAACTTACTAACTTTTACTCAAATTATATCATCCTTCTTGAGTATACTTACACTTCTCTAAGGCATTTGATTTCTTAGATCATGATGTTATTTTAAATAAACTGAAGCTGTTTATTACCCTTCTTAACTAAGTGTGCTTGATGGAGTCTTACTTGAGGGCTCGAGCCTGCAAAGCCCTCACCCCTGTAATCTGAGCACCTTGCATTTTACATAAATTTGTTTGATTGTTGCATTTTACGTAAATTAACTTAAATCCAGATATGTCATTTAGTAGGTCCCAGAAATGAGGTTTTGTGTTATGAGATTGCTGATAGAGAATTGCAATCAGTTTCTACAATAAATAATCAAGGACCTTGTAAATTATGTAAATAGAACTCTAGGCAGGAAAATTCTTAATCTAGATGTATTGAATGTGGGTTTTCTTTCTTTCTTTTTTTTCTTTTTCCCCATGGCATGCACCATGCTTTGACAAGCCTTGGTATAACTACACTTCTACAGATAAATTTATGGTAAATTCTCTTTTACACAAAATTATCGATAATGTTAATAATGTTGCAGCCAGTTGCACAAATGATATGGATTTATTCAGAGATCTGTTTCTTGTGGTCTTGGGGTTTGCTATTCTGTGATAAAAATGCGAAGCTGCCATTATGAACTAAGAGTTGTTTTTATTATTATTATTATTATTATTATTATTATTATTATTATTATTATTACCATCCAACAGGCATATAATGCCTAAATACATTTCATAATATATTCATAGGTTCATAATTCATAGGTTTATACGCTCTTGAAGATTACAAAATATTAGTTTGTCATAAAATAAGTATTGTCAATTGTTGCATATCTATCCAGTGAAATCTAATATGAGTTGTTTG